AGCATCTACTGCCTGCCGTCGCTGATCTTTCGAATCTATAGAGATAAGATTGATATATCGTGGCTTTTGGAGATACTAGATGATGAAAACAACTGCCCAGACGATACATCATTCCGTTCAGACAATTTCTTTCCCTTCTCCCTCTCCTTCTTCTTCTTTATGAAACAAAAATAATCTGAAGGTAATTTAAAAAATCCTTACCAGAAGAAATTCTCGCAGCTAGAGGTTATGAATAAAACAATGAAATTTTTTAAATTCTTGTAAATGACAAAAAACTATAATTTGCGGTGAAATTTTTAATGAACCTTTTTTTATTGTTTGGAAAGAATTTTTCGACAAGGCTTAAACCATTGTCATTGTGGGAAACACATATCAAACTTTTATCAAACTGTGGGCTAGCCCAGTGCCGCCACCTAATCCGGCCTAGTTAGCTAGGACGTGGCGGGCCGGGTCACTTTAATTTCCAAAAAAAGAAATGTTGAACAGGAGTGGAAAGATTTTCAGGTGTTAGAATCATAGAAGAATGATCACAACCACAATTCTCGTCTACAAGTTTAATTCATTAGTGATTCAGTTAGCAATGTAGGACCCACTTGCATGACAAACAGAGAAAAAAACAATTATCTTATACGGCACATGAAACTTAGATCTACTCGATTCAAGAAACGATGGCACCACAACATTAGTAGCAGCAAATGGACCAACAAAATCAACTACACCATGAGGATATTAGCAACACCAATGCTGGATCTGTGATGCATCGAGGAAACATGGGCAGGGAATGAAAAAAAGGTAACCAAAAGGAAGACTCACGATGCCTTGTTCAAGAACCATCTTACTGGTATCCTTTCTGTGCTTTTGAATAGTTTCCTGTTACAAAACAAACTCTTGACCATCAGCACTCCCCAGAGGCAGATGCTCCTATATCGATATCATACATCATAGAAAAGAAACCTAATTACTTGCTTTATTATCAGTCCATGTTCTTAGTAATACAATTCAAGCAGATAACCTATCAAGAATCTGGATGCCTATATCTTCTGAGTAAAACAAGACAAAATAAAAACATACAAGGGCACACAAGAAACTACGCATAGCGATCAACAAAATTGCAAGGGGTGGTTTTGTGTATCACCCCTCCAAACTAATCCACGGACTGTAAATAGAAAAACAAAAATACTACTACCTAACAAATACATTCAAGGTCACACGCGATACATAGGTAGACTCTACTGATCCACGGAGGGTAAGTGTGGAACTTGGCAAGGGAGGCTTTTAGCCAGTGCTGGTAGATTGACTTTGATTCAATCATCTTTGACAGGGATCCCATACTTTATGATGTCATTCTATGGGCTGCCTGTGGGAGTAGAAAAGAGAATGAATTTTTTTCAGAGCTAGATTGTTGTGGCAAAAAAATATTGACAAGAAAAAATATCACTTGGTAAGATGGGGAGAGGTTTGTAAACCCAAAGATATGGGTGGTTTGGGTGTTCATAATCTAGCTTTTATGATAAAGCTCTTTTATGCAAATGATGGTGGAAGTTGTATAATACTGATGGGGTGTGGCAGAAGATTTTGAGACATAAATACATTAAAAAAACTTGCATTACCAGTGTGAGAAGTAGAAAAGGAGATTCACAATCTTGGGGAGAATTGATGAAACACAATTTTTTTCCCTATGTAAATTTGAAATTGGGAATGGGGAAAATACCAGATTCTGGGAAGACTGGTGGATTGGGCCTAAAGCTTTAAAAGATAGCTACCCACGCATATACAATATCTGTTTCGATAAGGAAAAATCGGTGGCTCATATTTTGAAAAAGGGACTGGATAAAACTAGCTTTAGAAGATCCTTATGTGGGGAATCCCTGCAGCTATGGGGACACATAAAAGAGGTCTATGAGAGTGTGACGCTTGATGAGACTCAAGATAGGATTAAATGGACTTTATCTGGGGACGGTAAATACTATGTTAAAACTTGTTACAGACACTTGATCCAAGATGGGCTGAAATATCCATACAAATTCCTATGGAAAACAAAAATGCCTCCAAGGGTCAAGGTTTTTCTTGTGGCTACTATTGAGAAAAAGTATCCTTACTAAGCAAAAATTGAAAAAAAAAAGGATGGCAAGGGGATACTAAATGTTCCTTTTGTGGTAGAGACGAAGATATAGAACATTTATTTGTACATTGCTCTGCGGCTAGAATGTTGTGGATGGTTATGAAGTGCTCTTTTGACATTCATAATGTTCCTGGAAAAATAATGACATATTTCGCAAATGGATTAACAAATTTGATAAAGAAGGTAAAAACCTTATGATTGTTGGTATTTCAGCCATGCTTTGGACAATGTGGAAATTGAGAAACAGACTAGTTTTTGATGATCACAAGGTTATTGATCCTTGTGCTCCTGTAAACTTGATTATTAAGAATTTACATGAATGGTGTGTGTTGCAGAAAAACCAAGGAAGAATAGATCGCATGAAGGAGGGCGTAAATCAAGTTGAGAGGGTGGCTACGGAGATCTTCAGAGTGACGCATGGATGGGCGACTGGAGTTCCAAGAATGGGAGGCTCCTGAAGATGCCTACGTTGAGAGGGTGCCTACGTTGAAGCCTGTTTTCTCCGCTTGCCGTCCATTTTCTCTTCTGTTTCTGCTCCTATCTTCACTTTTGGGTTGTGATCTGTACTTCTGGCCTGGTGTTGGCTGTGATGATAACTCCTCTACGTAATAGCGAGTAGAACTTTGAACGCTAGCTTAGTTGGGTTTCTCTGGCACTTGTAGGCGTTGGAGATTTAGCCGATCCTGACTCTCTTGTTGTGTGGGGGGAGGGAGGGATGGATCCTTCTCCCAGCATGACAAATAGTCGCTGGTTTGCGTAGTTTGGTCCTGGAGTCTGTGAACAAATGATTTCCTTAATGAAATCGGAGAGGGAATCTTTCTTTTATCAAGAAAAAACGGTAGACTCTACTAGAGACCAAGACCAACAAATGTATTATGATTTGGATATCGCCCATAAATTCATGGGTGGCCAGCAAAGTGTCAACAATTATTTCTAAATTACGATAATCACTAGCAGAAACAAATTTCACTTCTTGGATCTTGGCACCAAAAAGCCATAAATAGCTATCACTTCTCATGCCAAAGCGCACCCCGGAGGGAGACCCATCCACTAATTAATAGCTTCTTCGGAGGTTGAAGATCCCATCCCTCTCCTTGAGGAGGAAGAAGAGGGGATATTTGAAAAAAAGGAATGAATCTCCTTATTTATAAGGAACACGACACTTGCTTTGTGGTTTGATTCCACAACAGAATGAGAATGGGGCAATGTCAAGTGTTGAATAGGAGCAGGAAGATTTTCAGTTGCTATAATCATAGAAGGCTAATCACGGCTACAATTCTTGTGTTCAAGTTTAATTCATTAGCAATGTTAGACCCACTTGGATAACAAACATTTTTTGAAAATGACTTGGATAACAAATGTAGAAAGAAACGGGTGTCTTATAAGGACAATGAAAAATCTACTCTATTCTTTTTTTGAACATCAGACGCAAACGCTCATACATACGTGCATACACTCATCCCTATGAACGCACACACGCACACCCTACCCCTATGAGCACCTCCGAGTGACTGAGGCGGCATGTCATCTTGAAATTTATGAAGTCACCATAGAAGCCTCGTCGTCGACGGGAACGTCTCCTCCCACTGAAAGCGCATCGTCAAAAATCCTGAATAAATCCAGGAATAATGTGAGCACCAGGACTTGAACCCTGGTGGGTTGGGGATACCTCTGTCCCTCTAACCATCCAACAACAGGTTGGTTCGCAAATCTACTCTATTCTAGAAAAGATGGCACCGTGAATGAGCAGCAAACTAACCAATAAAATCGAGTAGATCTTGAAGAGATAAGTAACTCCAATCTAGGATGGAGAGAACAAAGATGAACATGGAGTGAGAAAACGCGACTGAAAGGAAAACTCACTGTGGACTGGTCAAGATCCACCTTACTACTATCCTTCATGCACTTTGTGAATAGTCTCCTGTTACAAACAAACGGTTGCCCATTAGCACTTCCCAGAAGGAGATGCTCCTATATCGGTATCACATATCATCGAAAGGAAACATCTTTCAGCACACAAATCAAGAAGAGATGTCTATACCATCTGAGAAAAAGTAAACAAAACAAAAAATACAGCGGCAAACAAGAAAACATGCACATTACTAAAACAGTCCATGGAAGGAGGCGATCAACTAAAATGCAAGGAGTGGGTTTTGTTAAACATCGCATTATCCATGTCACAATTAATCGAGCGGGTTTGCTTATGAACATGGCATTGTCGTCCATTGACTAGATCGTATGTATAGAAAGGCGGGAACATGTCTATACATACATATCTAGGAATTTTTTTTGAGCATCAGTACAGACACAAGCGCTCATATACACGCGCATACACTCGTCCCTATGAACGCACACACGCACACCCTACCCTATGAGCACCTCCGAAAGACTGAGCCGGCATATCATCTTGAGATTTACGAAGTCACCGTAGGCGTCTCGTCGTCGACGGGAACGTCTCCTCCCACTGAAAGCGCATCGCCGGAAATCCTGAAATAAATCCAGAAATAATGCGAGCACCAGGATTTGAACCCTAGTGGGTACCACTGTCCACCTAACCAACTCAACCACAGGTTGATTCGCTACATATCTAGGAAATTGTCCGCATCGTTTTGAGTAAGCTGTCCATGTCTCGTACCTCCCTTTAGCTGTACGTAGAATTTTTCCAGAAGAGGCATGAATCCAAGATGACAAGTAAGAAATCGGCCATCTGTCGTCCATGCAGCAAGTGCGAGAGGTTCAAAAAAAGCTCCGCGAACGTGGGCCGGGCCCAGCGCGGCCTGCTCAACCCGAGCCTTACATTATGACGTGGTGAGCGGGCCGGGCCACAGACAGTCGTAAGTCCAAACCCTCTCTCTCTTTCCCCCAAACTGTGCCGCCGATGGAGTCTGACGGCGAGGAGGAGGCGGCGCCGACGCCGGGGACGGCCGCGGCGGCGCCCGCGGCGGGGCGGCTGAAGGGCTGCCCGGAGCTGTCGGTGGAGGGCGACATGCGGGAGATGGCCAAGACGGCCGCCTGGAGCGTCAGCTCCTGCAAGCCCGGCAACGGCGTCGCCTCCCTCCGCGACGACAGCCTCGACACCTACTGGCAGTGAGCGCCCCTCCCTTCTTCCCCAATCGAAATTTTCCTCTTCTCTCTCGCGGAATCACGGGCTGAGCCGAGCCGTCGTCGGTGGATTTTATTTTTGTTATTAGGTCGGACGGCGCGCAGCCGCACCTGGTCAACATCCAGTTCCAGAAGAAGGTGCAGCTGCAGGTGAGCCGCCGAGCTGCTGCTGCTGCTTCCGCTCGATTTGATTTACAAATTCTGTTCTGAATTTTGTTGCTGCTGGCGAATTTCAGCTTGTTGTGCTCTACGTGGATTTCAAGCTGGACGAGAGCTACACGCCCAGCAAGATCTCCATCCGGGCCGGCGACGGCTTCCACAATCTCAAGGTGGTGATTCCCTCCGCCCACGATACATCGTTTCTGAACATAGCAGCGAGGTGCCCAGTGAGAGCACATAGATATTTCTGAGTTCTAAGCTTGTGATCTGTGCTCGATGGTGAGAGGAGCACTCAGCAAATGTTGTTGCTTGAGGATGGCATATTTGATGCCTTGCCATTTCAGTTTAGATTTCTGTCTTGGACCAAACTAAGAACCTGGTCTGTGCATTCAGGTTTCCTGACCTGGGGGGCTACTGCATATTCTGATGACTGATGTGTCATAGTCATGGATTACACTACCTTATGGTTGCATCATGTTCAGACATATCATAGGATTACCTTACAGTATTGAAATATTGATTGGGAAACTTGATCTCTTTCTGCAATTTCCTCTGCATTGCGCCTACTTGTCCAGTGAACACCAAACTGATCCTTGAAAATTCAAATTTACAGTGATACTATTGGCTTTGATCTGAAATAATCGACCACTATATTTACCATGCTTCCAGGAAATTAAAACTGTGGACCTTTTGAAGCCAGTAGGATGGGTTCATATATCATTATCTGGCACTGATCCCCGGTATGGATTTTTGTAACTTATTAAACCCTGTGATGCCTTTGTTTTCCTTCCTCTAGCATTGAAACTTCAGAATGTAGCTCACCTTACCATCTGATGGCATACTATGCCTCTATGTTTACAACTCCCGTAATAATTAAATTTCATTTCAACATGTTGGATGACACTACACACTGCCTGTGCAGGCCACTGCTTGCATAAATTCCATGGTTTACTATGTTACTATTGTCGTTTTGCTAGTAGCTGAGTTTTCCTGAGATTTTGATAAACTTAGATACCATGTCAAAGTGCAAGAATGTCTGACGCTGCAGCTAATTCATTTCAGTCTTATAATAACCCATTACCTTTCAGTTTGACATATAATTTGCCCGCTACAAAAATGTGAGGAATTCAGAACTAATTTAAGAATGATATTGTTTGGACCCCCACTGCTTATTATTACTGCCTTTGCAGACAGTGGCATAATTCTCTTTCTTGCCATATTTGTGCAGAGAAACATTCATTCATACATTTATGCTCCAAATTGCGGTTCTGGCCAATCACCTGAACGGGAGGGACACCCATGTCCGGCAGATCAAGATATACGGGCCACGACCGTAAGTTGGATTTCGTACCTGCAGCCACCCCACCATCTATTAGCATCCCTTATTAATACAACTACAGCTGGGTCAAACAAAAGTTCGTGTCCTCCCACCATCAATCATTTCTAGTATTTACCTGGGTAAATAAAAGGCCAAATGCAAGCACTGCAAACAGAAGGAAAATCAGACAGGAAGAGTGTATTGTTGGTACCCTGATTCATTGTTGACAAGAGTCAGAGTTCACATAGAACTAGATATTTACAGGGAAATGACAGACAATATCTCTGCTTATGATCCCAATTGAATTCATGAATTGTGTGAGTTGAGTAAATATTCGACAGGAACAGTGTAGTGTTAGTAATGGAATCCATTGCTGACTACCGAGTCAGAGTTTGAATATAAAAACTAGTACTGTAGATGTTTACGTGCAAATCACATGCAGTATCTGCTGGCTAACCTGATTTAACTAGTTAATTCAGTATGGCCACGACCGTAAGTTGGATACTGTACATGCAGCCACCCAGCCATCTATTAGCATTATGTGATACGACTATATATAGTAAATCATTTCTGGTGTTTGCCTGCGTAAGACAAAAGGCCAAATGCAAGCACCATGCAAACAAAAGAAAAATCTGACAGGAAGAGTGTACCGTCTGTACCCTTGTTTATTTGTTGATTGACCCGTAGTCAGATTTCCTAGCTAGATGCTGACATGCGAATCACATACAGTGCTGATCGATACCTGGCCGCAGTCAGAGTTTGCGTAGAGGACTTAGATGTTTAGAAGCAAATCATATACTGTACGACATAATGTGCTGATGACCCTAATTGAATTGTGCGAGTGGAGTAGTGCATGCCTGCACCAGAGATTGAGCTGTGGTGTTACCATCCTAATGCGTTGCTGTTTCTTGTGTTTCAGGAACCCCGTTCCCCACCAGCCTTTCCACTTCACCTCCAGGGAATGCATCATGTACTCGACCATCAGGTGATGGTTGGTGAACCCTAGTCGCGTGGGATCCTCCTCCGTATCGGTCAGAGCCAAGGTGATCGATCGTGTGGCCTGCTGCGCGCTTCGGTCGTCCGTGACGAATGCCGACGTGGATTAAGTAGTCACTGAAGTACCCAGCATGTGTGAGCATGTACTGTCGATTATGTTGCTGCTGAAGCGTTAGGCTGTCTCTGTGAACATCTAACATGTGCTAATTCATGTTGTATTCCATTACATCCATGTATTCTTGGTACATCTTTTTCATCCATTTATTTAGTGTAACATTTCATTATTTCTGGAATGGATTGGAAGTTTCTCCTGGTATATTTATTTTTCTTTCCCTAGAGTGGAAGCCTTTCATTTTTATTGCCGTTTTGCCTCAGTTGTCACTTGCCGCTGCTGACAATGGTGGTGGCCTGTGGCGACTGATCCGTAAACATAAATGAAGGCCATGGTCACCCGTTTTACCGTGACACGCCTCTGGTCGATCTGCAGGATATTGTTCAGGAGAATTCATTTGCAATCCAGCACCACTGGATATTCCACTGCCAATAATGCTTCTTTTCTTTAAAATTTTGCAAAATTAATATGCGGCAGGGAAACCTACGTACTGTTCTCCTTAAAAATGTGTTTTTCTCTTTTCAGATTAAAAGACTGAACCATGAGAACTTTTCGTGTGAATTATTCTGTATAGGATTCTTTCCGTAAGAAAATCCTTCACTGATTCTAACCTCATGTTAAATTATTTTATCATCTTCTTGTGATAGTTATAACAAAAACTTGTCCTCTCGGAACAATCCACGCGGTGCCATTAGCCCAGTAAGATAACGCTTTTTCATGGAGTGGAGCGTTTTGGAGGCCGAGCTGCCTGGAGGCCTCTATCCAGGCGGACGTTGAGGGATTGGGATCCGTGCCTCCTTACCATTCAGTTATATATACAGATACTAATACAGGGTGCCATTCTCTCGTCTTCTGTATTTGTATGTGAGCCTCCGTCGTGGGCGATGATGCAAAAACATGATGTGCCTCGTTGGGTGAGTTTGAATTTTGGTGCTGCTATCTCTCCCTTCGTCGCTCACAGCGCACGTCCGCACATGCAAGGTTGGTTGTTATTCCTTTTTTTCTTCTTTATTTTTTCTCTAGCCGTACATATTCTGCAAAAGTTCTGTTTTTTATGTTTCATTCATTTATAAAAAAATAAATGAGTGAAAAATATTTTGAAGACACTGCTAAATTATTCGACTCATATTACAAACAATCTTGATTGTGTATTTGAAAAAAGTGCATCATGTATTTAAAATAATCACCACGTATTCAAAACAAGTCCACCACATATTCAGAAAGAAAATGTTTGTCACGTATATGAAAATTGTTCACCACGTATTTAGAAAATGTTCGTCATGTATTTAAAAAATATTAACCAATTTTGAAGTGAAAACATGTATTTAAAATATGTTCATCGCGTATTGGAATAATATTCGTCGTGTATGCAAAAAAGTTCATCGCATATTTGAAATATTTTCATTATGTATTTGGATTATGTCCGTGACATGTATAAAAAATATTCATCTTGTATTTAAAATATGTTCATCCATCATCGTCAAGGTAGGGAGAGACCAAAGTGACCGTATTCTAACACGCCATCGTCGCCACCACCTCGTCGACGATGTTGGAGAAGCAAAAATCTAAGAAAAATAAAACAAGACGGATGGGCCCCCACTCCTCTTGCCGCCAATGAGGCCACCAGACGGGAAGATGAGGGGCACCGAGGCTGCGGCTTGGGTTGGGAGGCGGCGACATGATTCGTCTGGCTGGACTTTGGTACATACTTAGAGTACTTAAAAGTAGAAGTGTTGTTGTTGGTACTACAAAATTGTTTGCATAACTTTTCATCAATTGTAAATTTGCGATTTTTTTTAGTGAGGTGATCGCGTGGTAAAAAATAACAAGGTGCAACATATATTTGTTCAATCTGATTGATTAAGGACTAGTCTAATAACCCATCCAAAAAAAGGACTTCACCCATTGGAACATGTACGGCATGTGAGTACCTGATGATAAATATGTGTGCACTAAATACAGACAATTGGCATTGCTTGTTGAATCCATGGGTAATTTATCCAAAATATTTTTTATGTTTGTAATGGAAATGATTCTTTGGGGCAGTCTAATGATTAGTTCTCAATGAAGAAAGAAGATTTTTTTTGGTACATTTGTTGCTGTTTTTAATATGTTTCAAAATGATTTTGTACTAGTTGGGCCAAATCTACTATGGTTAGTGGCTTAATTATGAAAATCAAATATAATCATCAGAAGAAATTGCAATTAGTTTATTATTCTCAATCATGGGTAAATCTGAGGTGCCTGCAGCGAGAACTTTCCCTTAAGAACTAGTACTGCTAATCCCAAAACCAGGGTAATTAGTGTATCATGGAGGATGGTCATGTTCTCCGAACTTGCATATTCCTGTGGCAGGGAAGTGTACATGATGCACTGCATGTACATGATGGGTGAGACGGTGGAACATGTGAACAGCCTGGTCGGGCAGTGTCGTTAACATGGGATGACACTGTGCATAAAATGGAGAATACGGTGTGGTGTAAAAAAAGGTGTCAGGTCAAATATGAGTGAGTCATAAGGGACTGCGCCGATTCTTACGAACACTGACGAGCCAGATTACGGCCTGCATGGTGCTCGGCCACCAAACAGCATTTTCGTTTTTCATGTTCTTATATATGTTTCCCTTCCTCTTCTTATAAAACCGGTACTCCGAGTTTGCCACGACATCTAGTTAATCGGTAATCCTTGTTTAGCATCAAAGGACTAATACAACTCTAATCATCACTTAGCAATTTTTTATTTGTTCTTTCGCGAATTCAAATACTGAGTAAAGTGAAAGCCCAAACCAGGGGGCTTTCTCTTTGCTTTTAGAACAAATGAAGATCAAATTTAAATTGAAGGAGGGAGAGATCGGATACGTACCCCTTTATCCCCTAGTCGTGTGATCTCTTTCTGCATTCTTTGCATCTAGGGCATGGATTACCATAAAGCAAAGAGATTTGTATATGGAGGCCTGCAGGGTGCGGAGTCAGGAATCTTAAACTTTTGACGTTCAAATTGGTGCAACGGGACTGACAGCAGGAGACCAAGCTGCTTTTTTTTTTCTTTGCATGCATATACGTTGCTTTATTTGACCTCCAGCATCCTGGTTGTATATATTTATCTATCGACATTGTCAGCAAGATGAGAATAAGAAAACAATGCAAGCTAGTCAGCGTGTCCATGGCAGAAGGGCGTTGCTTTCGTGTGCAAATTAGTACGTTCAATCGTGCATAACTTTCTTGGCTGGGCAAACTAATTGCTGGGAGATTATAGGCTCGTTTTCTGAGTTATAGGCTCATGTATAGCCAGTGAGTGGGACGTTGCAAAACTATATACTCGTAGCATGCATGAGGTTTGGAGGAATTTCAAAAAATTATATATTATATGATTTTTTTAGGAATTTTCCCTTTAAAGCCCTTTGTCATAGGAATGGATTCCTATTCCTACATAGGATTGGTTCCTATCCTCCACATTTCAAAAGAAAATAAATATGAGCTTAGACTCAATGGGAAAATTCCTATGATGTGAACCAAATGACATCTCCTCTCCTAATCATATTCCTACAAGTTTCCTATTCCTGTGATAATCATATCCTATGAACCAAAGAAAGCCTTAATTACTTAACTGTGCCATGCACTAATTATGTACTGTACTGCTATATAGGAGTACTAGTCTCTACTCCTAATGTTTTACTTGGTAGGTCGCGTTCCGGGTTTTATTTTCGTCCCACCTCACCCGGTCTTTTTTGGTACTTCTTTGGTACTTGCTCCCACCTCCCGCTCAGCCGAGACGGTTTATTTTCGTACTCCCTCCCACCTCCCAGGTAGTTCACTCCACGCAAAAAAAATCAAACCAACCAATCTCTACTCCTAATGGAGCAGTTGGTAGTCTTCGCCGGTCAATTTTCGTCCCACCACTTTCGTCCGGTTTTTTTCGTAGGTTAACTGTCGTAGATTTTTTTTCATCGCCTTCCCCACTTCATCGGTTTATTTTCACTTCACCCTCTCACACAACGAAAAAAACTGAACGGATCAGAACTTTCCATACTGACGCAAATTATTTAGTAATGCCTTTATGTAAAAGAATCAATCACAATCAATCTCTAAAGATCAAATCTAAATTAATTAATCTTCATAACGTTTGTTTCCTTTCGAATCACGTCCATAACTTTCCTTCCTTGTTTGGGCAGAAACTGTTTGGTAGCAGAGATTAGGAAGCTTCCTATGAGTATAGTAATAGGAAGTATTCTTTTTCTTGATGATTCGTTTCCATGCATGATGATAGTAAATTATGCCAACATTCACCACTATTTATCAATGTCATCAATCGTATCCATTTCTACCAGTTTTAAGGGAATCTGCTCGCTATGTCTTTTTTAAGGGGATCCGCTCGCTAAGTCATCGTCGCATGTTATTTTCACAAACAATCTCTACTCCTAATGGAGCAGTTGGTAGTCTCGTACGGTTTATTTTTGTCCTCCTCCCATCTCCCCTGATTTTTTTCATCCTCTCTCCCACCTCCCAATTTTGTTGGTTTTTTTGTCGGTTTTTACTCGCCCCCTCCCACCTCCCAATTTCGTCCGGTTTTTATTCGTCCCACCCCCTCATACTGGTTCTTTTTCTCTCCACTCTTTCCTTGCAAACCAATAATTTCCTAACATACAAAAGATCACGAATCTATCTTTCCTTACCCGAACCAATCGCGCCCTACATCAGTGCATTTCTTTATTAAGAAAACTAACACGTAAATCTTAACGCATTGCAAACAAATCCCGTTATGGACCTAATTAATTTATTATGGAATCTATACGTGGTCGCATTGGTTCTTTTTCTCTCCACTCTTTCCTTGCAAACCACTAATTTCCTAACATACAAAAGATCACGAATCTATCTTTCCTTA